GCCCAGGCGGGTCTCGAACCCACGGGCTCAGGCAATCCACTCACCTCAGCCTCCCAAGGCGCAGGATTACAGGCTGAGCCACCGAGCCCGGCTTCTGATATATTTTAAAGCACATTTATTTATTTATTTACTTTGAGGCAGGGTTCTCTTTATGTTGCCCAGGCTAGTCTCAAACTCCTGGACTCAAGGATCCTCCTGCCTCAGCCTACCGAATAGCTGGGAATACAGGATCCTGCTTACATCTGGAATTTTTCTAACCACTGTCACTCCAATTTAGTCAAGCCTTACCAGTCCCAGGGACCTACCCTCAGCCTAGGTTAACACTTGAGTTTTTTGTTCTTTGGGGGTTTTTTTGAGTTGGAATTTCACTCTGTCGCCTAGGCTGTAGTGCAGTGGCATGCTCAGGGCCACCACTGCCACGCCCTGCTGGGCTCAGGCAATCCTCCCACCTCAGCCTTCCAAGTAGCTGGAACTACAGGCACTCACTACCACGCTCCGCTAATTTTTTGATTTTTTTATTGTAGAGACAAGGTCTCGTCAAGTTGCTCAGGCCTGTCTCAAACCCCTGGGCTCCGGCAATCCTCTCACCTTGGTCTCCCAAAGTGCTAGGATTATAGGTTTGAGCCACCACACCCAGCCGTAACACTTGAGTTTTAAGAGTAACACCCTGGTCTCCAGGATCAGTACTTATGAAAGACAGATGAGAATTAAGCAAGTGGCCAAAGCATTATGTGAAATCCCAGGATAAAACAAAATGAAGGGAGGGCCAGCATGGGGCTTTGTTTTCTCCATCAGAAAAAAAAGGAGGGGGAAAGATTTGGTCTTATCCATTCAATCCCGTTTTCCTACAGTGGAACGTGAAGCTGGGAGGTGGAGGTGTCAGATCATTTACTGGGTGCAAAATGGAAGTGGGAGACAAGAAAGCACACTCAGTTTGCCCTGAGAACCAGCAGGAGCCCTCATCCCTGCCCAGTGCAGGACAGACTTTTCCACCAGCTCAGGGGAACCCTTGGAGGTTCTGGAGCCCAGGTGTGAACTGATAAGACACTGGTTTGAGAAAGGTCACACAGGGTGTGCCCAAGAAAGCAAAGGCAGGCATTATCCATTCTCCCTGGTGACCAGGCCCCAGAGCCCTTTATCCTTTCCATCTCCAAGGCAGGGCTTTCTGAAGGTTTCAGGAAAAACGTCCAAACCCATCCCTCATGACTTGAAAAACTAGTCTGTTAGATTCAAGAGCCCAGCACTTAGGTCAATGGCAAGGAAAGGGGATTCCCAGACTTCCCTTCTTGGGGCATCCACGCTCACTTTCAAGAAAATTAGAAAGGGACCAAGCACAGTGGCTCACACCTGTAATCCCAACGTTTTGGGAGGCAGAGGCAGGAGAATACCTTGGAGCCAGGAGTTCAAGATCAGCCTGGGCAACATAATGTGACTCAGTCAAAATATAAAAAATAAAAATAGCCCGGGAGCAGTGGCTCAAGTCTGTAATCCCAGCACTTTGGGGGGCCAGGGCAAGAGGACTGTCTGAGCCTGTGGGTTCGAAACCAGCCTGGGCAACATGGTGAGACCTCGGTCTCTACAATAAATTGAAAAATTAGGCAGGCGTCATAGCCCACCTGTAGTTCCAGCTACTTGGAAGGCTGAGGCGGAAGGATCGATGGAGCCCAGCAGGTAGACGAGGTAGACCCTGGGGTGGCCGTGAGCATGCCACTGCACTCTAGCCCAGGCGATGGAGTGAGACTCTGACTCAAAAAAAAAAAAAAAAAAACAAGCCAGAACCGATGGCACAAGCCTGTAGTCCCAGCTACTTAGGAGGCTGAGGCAGAAGGATCGCCTGAGCCCAGGAGTTTGAGGCTGTAGTGACTTATGGTCTCACCACTGCATCTAGCCTGGGCAACAAACCCAGACCCTGTCTCTAAAAAAAGAGAATGGATCAGCTCCATGGACCAACACTCGATCAATCCTTCACAGTTGCCAGGACAGGGAAATAGCCCAGTTACCAAGTTAACGGCGAGGCCACCAGACCTAACTAGCCAAGATGCTGACGTGTCCACACACACCCAGGGCTGCTCCATCTTGATGCAAATTAGTTCAATGGGCCACCCGAGAGGGTCAGAACCCCAAGCACTGAATCTCTCCCCTCCCTCTCGCCCCTGGGCCGGTCCGTTTCCTTTCAATTCCGCCCATTGCCCTCCTTTTCTTATACTAAGCGGGTCCTCCCGGCCCCCAGGCGTCCACTCCCCACCCCGCCCTGGGCGCTCAGGCTGGACGCGGTTCCCAGCTCCAGGCTCCGGTGGGGCCAGCGATCCCAGCCCAGGGACCAC